TAATGACAGTTAGTAAAAATGTTAAACTGTTGTACGAGATGATAAAAACTATTGACCAGAAACTTGATGCAAAGGCAAACGAACCAAAAGATAACAATGAAGAGAAGGAAAAGATTGATAAGATCTTTGAAAAGAAAGGGATAGGCAGACCCAGCGGTGATTATGACACGAAGCGTAAAAAAATATTGTGATATGTTAAATAAGGGACAAATCAAAAGTCCAAAAGAACAAACATTAGAATACTATAAGATTATTAAGGAAGATGATAAATATGTATATTTCTAAAACATTATCTAAATCATTCTAATAAACAATATGAATTTATTAGAATTATTTAGTGGAACTGGAAGTGTAGGAACCATAGCAAAGTCACTCGGTTATAATGTCATCTCATTAGACTTGAAAAATGCTGATATTAATTGTGATATTTTGGAATGGGATTATAAGCAGTTTGACAGAAACCATTTTGATTTTATTTGGAGCAGTCCCCCGTGCACCGAATACAGCAAAGCAAAAACGACAGGAATTAGGAATATTGAATATGCTAATAGTATAGTTTTAAAAACTATTGAGATTATCAAATATTTTAATCCTAAATATTTTGTAATCGAAAATCCTCAAACTGGATTATTAAAAAATCAGGAGTTTATGAATGAGTTTGATTTTAAAGATGTTGATTATTGCAAATATGGATTTAATTACAGAAAACGCACTAGACTTTGGAATAACATTACGAATTGGACACCTAGAGATTTATGTAATAGAGATTGTGGAAAAATAAGGAATAATAAACATATTGAAACTGCGCAACGACTGCCATCAAAAACTAAAGCAGAATGGGGGGATAATTATGTAATTCATAAGCAGGAAGATTTATACAAAATACCTGCTGAATTGATTTGTGAGATTTTGACGAGTTTGACGGATTAAGGATTTTGAGTTTCTGACGCCAGAAACGCCACATTTAATGTATACACCGTTTTTGGTGTGTCCATACACCGTTTTTGGTGTGTCCATACACCGTTTTTGACGGATTAAGGAATTTGAGTTTCTGAAGCCAAAAATGCATCATTTAATGCACACACCGTTTTTGGTGTGTCCATACACCGTTTTTGGTGTGTCCATACACCGTTTTTGGTGTGTCCATACACCGTTTTTGGTGTGCCGTGTTTGGTATTTTGTGCGATTAAAATTTAACCCATAAACCTTACAATAAAAAACATTGTAAGATTTAACCCATAAACCTTACAATATCAAATCTTGAGTTGAGGTTCTGTTATGAATTGATGAAAAAATATTATGTGGATTGGTCGGTTGAGGGGATTTTATATTTTGGGATTTTGGAAAAATATATTTTGGGAATTTGGGATTTTGGAAAAATATATTTTTGAAAATTTAGAAAAATATTTGTAAAATTTATGTATCAAATCTTGAGTTGAGGTTCTGTTATGAAATGATTAAAAAATATTATGTGAATTGGTCGGTCGAGGGGGTTTTATATTTTGGGATTTTGGAAAAATATATTTTGGGAATTTGGGATTTTGGAAAAATATATTTTTGAAAATTTAGAAAAATATTTGTAAAATTTATGTATCAAATCTTGAGTTGAGGTTCTGTTATGAAATGATGAAAAAATATTATGTGGATTGGTCGGTTGAGGGGATTGTATCCAACTGGGGGGTCCTCTTGGGTAGGTTAAAGGCCCCCCCCCCCCCTGAATGACCATAAATAAAGATTAGGGGAGAATTTTCAGGGTCGGGCCTTGTTTAAAGGAGTTTAGTATTGGGCTCAGTTTTTTGGTTTTCGAATACTACTTTAGAATTGGGCCAATTCAAAAGTAGTATTGGGCATGTTGTTTTTTCTTATTTTGCTTTGGGGGAATACTAGTTTAGAATTGGGCCAATTCTAAAGTAGTATTGAGCCAAGAACTTTTGCATGCATTTCATGAGGGTTTGCGTGGGCAGGCATGGGATTGAGAAGGACATTCATGAGGGGCTGGCATGCATTTCAGGAGGGATTGCGAAGGACATTCATGAGGGTTTGCATGGGCAGGCATGTATTCCAAGAGGGATTGAGAAGGAAATTCATGAGGGCTTGCATGGGCAGGCATGCATTCTAGGAGGGATTGAGAAGGACATTCATGAGGGTTTGCATGGGCTGGCATGTGTTCCAAGAGGGATTGAGAAGGACATTCATGAGGGTTTGCATGGGCAGGCATGCATTCTAGGAGGGATTGAGAAGGACATTCATGAGGGGTTGCATGGGCAGGCATGTATTCCAAGAGGGATTGAGAAGGGGGTTTGCATGCAGGCAGGCATGTTTTCCAAGAGGGATTGAGAAGGAAATTCATGAGGGTTTGCATGGGCTGGCATGCATTCTAGGAGGGATTGAGAAGGACATTCATGAGGGTTTGAGGGGGATTGAGAAGGACATTCATGAGGGTTTGCAGGGGCTGGATGTATTCCAAGAGGGATTGAGAAGGACATTCATGAGGGTTTGCATGGGCAGGCATGCATTCTAGGAGGGATTGAGAAGGACATTCATGAGGGTTTGCATGGGCAGGCATGTGTTCCAAGAGGGATTGAGAAGGACATTCATGAGGGTTTGCATGGATTCAGCATGACATTTACAAGGGGAGGCATGGGTTTGCAGGCATTTCAGCAAGGGTTCAGTGAGCATTAGCTTGGCCAGCATTGCAGCCATGTCATCAGTGAGTGAGAATTCATGGCATGAACTTCATGAGTCAGATTTAGATTCAGGGCATGATGCAGATACAGAGCAGGCTGGGCAGGAGGAGGCTGGATCAGAGCTGGGGGCTGCAGAGCAGGAGGATGAGAATGCAGCAGTTGATGAGGGCCAACCAGTACACTGCATTAGTGGGCATGACAAGGAGAATCAGGCATCATGTTGAAGTGCTTAATCTGATTGGTCAGTATTTGGGCATTGATGTTGCAGACACATACTGGTGCCTGCATTATGCAGGCAGTGTGTATCAGTTTGTCCAGCTGGAGAACCCTGCATATTCAGATGCATGGTGCATCTGGGGCTGGGTGATTGAGTATGCAGCAAAAGGCAGCTACTCTTTTGTGGGTGATGAGATCAAGGAGCTTGAATGTCATGTTGGAGATGTGCCATCAGAACTTGCATCATCAGGCTCAGATCACAGCACCATCAGGCTCAGGATTAAATTCAGATGCATCAACCACAACATCCTGTACATTCCCTCAGCATCCTCATGAGATCAGGTTTGTAGATTAGTTAGGCTCAGTGCAGTGGACATGGCAAGTGTATGACAGAAAAAGGGAAAAGGTGTGTGGTGGGTGGTGTGTGGTGGGTGGTGTGTGGTGGGTGGTGGGTGGTGGTGGGTTGGTGGTGCCAGCACCATTCCCTTTCAGCCCTGGCCAAGCCCTGCTAGGATCAGATCTTCATCAGGTGCTGCATCCAAAGAAGGATGATGAGGCAAAGAAGCCAATTGGAGAAGGGAAGGATGAGGAAAAGAAAGATGAGTAAGCAATGAGTAGCTGCAACCCAGTGTTCTTAGCAGTTGGCGTCAGGATTGAGTTGGAAAACATGAAGGTGCATGCGCTGTCATGAGTGGCATGGGGGCAGTGAGCATGGATTCACTTGGCATCATGTGCATCCAGCATGTGCATGAGCCATTCAATCATCAGCAGCCTTTTGCACCAGAGCTTGGAATCAGTTTGTATTTGGAGCCCATTAGCATGGCCATGAGCATGAAGAAGGTGATGGCATGCTGGCGGAGGCGAGGAGGCTGTGCATGGGCTGTGGCCCAGGCTGGGACGAGGATGGCTTCCCGATGAAGCGCTTTGAGGATACTGGCTTGGGGTTGTCCATATGTGGGTTTTAAGTGTTCTTTTGGGAAGAAATGCATAGATGTTGAGGAACTCAGTGAATACTTTGAGCCATCACAAGGATGAACCGGGAGAAGTAGTTAAGTTTGTTGTGGATCAGATCTCGTAACTTTAAACTTCACGTCAGCCGTGGATTCTCGATCCTGTCAGGAGCCTCAGCCGGTGCAGCCGGACCAGCCGGAGCCGCGCAGCAAGCGGGCAAGGATCCAGGAGACTTAGCGTGTTTCCTTGGCCAAAGTCGCTCTGGTCATTCAAAGTTGAGTGTTTCCCATCACCAAAATGTAGAATATATTTCACATGTGCCTTGTGTTTTGTAACTTATGTGGAAAACCATATGTGGCATTCTGGCGTCACAAATTTGAGGAGGAGGATGAGAAGCCGGGCTGGGCAATGAAGGACAAGATGGAGAAGGAACCGGGAGACCGCAAGGGGAACAGCTTGTCAAGCGATTTTGATTTTGATTTTGAGTACGGTTCCAAACTGTGAACCAACGTACATAGCCTAACGATCTTGTAGGTCTGAGAAGTGTCTAAGTGTTTGAGTGTTCAATTAGAGACGTCAGTAAAGTTACCATCAACGACCAAGCTGGCCCTGGCAAGGAGCAGGCGAGCGCTGTGGACGACCAGCCCGGCGGCAAGGTCGAGATGGTGGTGGAGAAGAAGGATCAGCCGTAAAAATAAGATCAAAAAGTAAAAGAAAAGCAAATATAAAGATAGCAATAAAAGACTTCTTCAAGTTAATTCTTCTTTTTGGGATTTTATTGTTGGGATTCCTCATATCACGGTCAATGGCAAATATTAGCGACCAGGAGGAGACGGTGGAGAAGCCTGAGGAGCAGGCGAGCGCTTCCGCTTTGGACGGCAACCAGCCCGGCAAGGTCGAGATGGTGGTGGAGAAGAAGAGCGTTTTGGGGGTGGTGGAGGTGGAGAAGAAGGAGGAGCAGGCAAGCGCTTGCAACCAGCCCGGCGAGGTCAAGACGGTGGTGGAGAAGAAGGATCAGCCGGGCACGGTGGTGGAGAAGAAGGAACAGGCGTTGGAGGGCAACCAGCCCGGCGGCAAGGTCAAGACGGTGGTGGAGAAGAAGGATCAGCCGGGCACGTGGTGGAGAAGAAGGAACAGGCGTTGGAGGGCAACCAGCCCGGCGGCAACTTGAAGACGGTGGTGGAGAAGAAGGATCAGGCGGTGGAGAAGCAGGATCAGCCGAGCGCTTTGCAGCCGGAGGTGGTGGAGAAGAAGGAGCAGGCGGTGGAAAAGAAGGATCAGCCGAGCTTTTTGCAGGAGGAGGTGGTGGAGAAGCAGGAGCAGGCGATGCCGTTGGAGAAGAAGGATCAGCCGAGCGCTTTGCAGGAGGAGGTGGTGGAGAAGAAGGAGCAGGCGGTGGAGAAGAAGGATCAGCCGAGCGCTTTGCAGGAGAAGAAGGAGCAGGCGGGACAACCAGCCCGGCGGCAAGGTGAAGCTGGTGGGGGACCATGTGCAGGAGAAGGCGGGCGCTTTGGACGGCGATTGCCAGCCCGACAAGGTGAAGATGAAGATGGGGAAGAACAAGCAGACGCCGAGCAAGTCGCAGGAGAAGAAGGAGAACAAGGAGCAGGAGCAACCGCACGCTTTGGGCGGCACGGTGCCGGAGAAGAAGCAGAAGAAAAAGGGGCCGGGGCTGGGGGAGAACAAGCAGCTGAAAGAGCCGGACGCTTTGGGCAAGGCGCAGGCGCAGGCGCTGCTGGAGCAGCAGAAGAAGAAGAAGAAGAGGGGCAGGCGGAGAAGAAGAAGGTGGCGACGAAGGAGGGGGTTGCAGAGCAGAGCTTTTATTTTGTTTTGCTATGTCGCTTTGTGTTAATATATATTAATATTTTTAGCCGTCAGCCCGTCAGGACCGTCAGGAGCAGTCGCAGGGGGACACCGGCGTGGCGACGAAGAGGAAGGCGGAGGGCACGCAGGTGACGCTGGAAGGGGACACTGGCGGCACCGGCAAAGAGACGCAACAAAATGGAACATTTTCGTTGCTTGTATTTGAGTGAGGGGAGTTGGCGGAGTCCGCTTTCTTTTTAAACCATGCTCTAGTTTTATGCCATGGGCTACCAAGGAGCCCATGAAAGAGGAGACCGCAACGCCGCTCGTGGACACCATGGCGGCAAAGAACAAGCAGCGGCAGCAGACGAAGCTGCGCAAGGCGGTGAAGGCGGGACGGGACTAACTAGGTTTTTGAAATATATAGTGCCGATATTTCTGTCTAAGAGCAACGTTGCAAATACTCGGTGCCTTCAATGACATCCGGTTGAAACGCTGTGTTCTCTTTTGATTTCATTTTTGAGACCTTGCAAACATGTGGGAGCTATGCAGGCGCTCCGGACGGCCTTGCGCTGCTTTGAGAAGCTCAAGTCGGAGCTGCCCGGTGACGAGTCGGCAGAGTCTGCCACATCCGACTCGTCGAGTGAGGCGGGCTCCCGGGCGTCGGAGATCGGAGAGTAGGAGAACTAAGCTTTAAAGGCCTGCAGGGAAGCTTGAGGCTCGAGCAAACATAATCATGAACTCATGATTCAACAAGCGCAACATATATGAGCTTCCTTGAAGTGGCCTGACTGGGGCAGCTGCAAAGCAGCATAGGGTTGTTTGCATCATAGCTGTAGCTGTAGCTACCGGCGATCGGGGCTCAAAGGTCTTTGAAGACACAACGAAGCACATCACTTCCAATGGCAGTTCACGGGTCCTTTGAGAACCACGAAATCGAACGCACCTTGCTGTCGCGTTTGTCGAAGTTTGCAAAGCGGTGCAGCCGACATGGCCTGCCTGCGAAAAGAAAGGCCGACATCAGGGAAGCTTGGGGCTCCAGCAATCATGAACTCATGAGTCAGCAAGCGCAACATATATGAGCTTCCTTGAAGTGGCCTGACTGGGGCAGCTGCAAAGCAGCATAGGGTTGTAGCTGTAGCTACCGGCGATCAGGGCTCAAAGGTCTTTGAAGACACAACGAAGCACATCACTTCCAATGGCAGTTCACGGGTCCTTTGAGAACCACGAAATCGAACGCACCTTGCTGTCGCGTTTGTCGAAGTTTGCAAAGCGGTGCAGCCGACATGGCCTGCCTGCGAAAAGAAAGGCCGACATCAGGGAAGCTTGGGGCTCCAGCAATCATGAAGCAAACGCAACATATAAGCTTCCTTGAAGTGGCCTGACCGGGGTGAAGTGACTGCAGAGCAGTTTGAGAATGTCTGGATTGTAGCTGTAGCTAGCTACCGGGGCTGGGTCTCAAAGGTCATTGAAACCCCAACGATGCGCATCGCTCCCAATGGCAGATTGCTTGCCCTTTGAGACTCTGAAAAGCGCGAAATCGAACGCTTATTGTGTTCGTCGAAGTATGCCGGAACATAAGCACTTCCCACTACGATGACGTGAGGAAGGCTTGGGAACTCATTGTGGGGCGCGGGCCTCAGTAATAGAGATGCCATCTTTTCAGGGACTTTGAGTCAATGAAGGAGGAGGGCGGTCGTCAAGACCCCTTCGACAATCGCAAGTTGCAGTCCATGATGGAGCCTTGAAGGAGGGAGATTCCACTACTGACCAGTACATTGCAGGCGGCAATGTAGCGTGGGTTAGCTGGTCATGGTCTTCGACTGCAAGTGTGCCAGTGTACAAGAGCAGCGTAAAGTGGATCATGCACACCACGTACAAGACGCCCCAGCCTATAAATTTGGTGGTGGCAGTGGATGACTTGTTTATGGACCAGAAAAATGGGCAAATGAAGAGGATCAGTCCGGAGGAGGACCATCACGCCTTCATCTTGGCCACAGCGAGGGACTTGCAGCAAGACAAGTTCCAGGAGGCCGGCGCCGTCGCTGTCTTGGCCCCTAAATACATTACTAGCCAAGCATTGAGTTGCCAGCGCAGGAATGGAGAAGGGCGTGGCTGTCTTCCACGATCGATTGCCGCTTCAAGCCCGGGCTGAATTTGTTCTGGGAAGCGGCCAAGCAAAGGGAGGATGTTGGGACCAGCTACGAGACCATGTACTACAGCCCTGTGCAACGCATCTTTCAAATAGTGTCCTTCAAGTTGAATCACGAATCAGCTTCCAAGACCAAGCTGACGACTAAGAAGCTTTTCGAGATCTTGTCTGCCAACTTGACGGTGACATCGGGGGAGGCAGTGACGCAGTCCTTCCTCGAAGTCTTGATGGCTCTGTGGAATTCCTTGCTGAGCGACACTTCTTTCCGAGAGGAAGTCCTGCTTTCTGAGGAGCTCTTCGGAAAGCGAAGTCCCATCAAGTCCATATATGTTTTGCGAGACCTTGCCACTGCTTGCAAGAAGCAACCGCCTTGCGTGAAGTGGGTGTTCGATGCCCTCATGGATGCGGCGTTGAACAAAACCTTCAAGCAAGGCGAGCTCAACCCCCAGGCGTTGGCCGGCAAGAACCCCCGTGGGAATAATTCCAAAGGGCCTGACTCCTAGCACTGCTGCTTTTTTCTTAGGTTTTGCCTTGATTGATGGGGGCGCACTGCTTCTGAGGCTGTTGCATATGTGGGCATGGAAGTATGTCCTGAAAGATGAGATCCTGGACATGCTGTTGGCTCACAAGAGCCTGCCATGTGAGGACGCAAAACGCATCCGGGAGAAACTCTCCACTCAGGAGACGTGGCGCAAGGCAATGGCTGGTGGCCTTCTCTTCTCGCGGGAGACGCTCGACAATATCCCTGACAATGAACTTGACCCTAGCATTTTGACTGCAATTGGCGATTCAAGTGTCGCCCATGACATTGTAATGATCTGGACATGGCGCCGAGGTCACCCCCTCCGTTTCAGAAAGAACACTTCGAGAAAGTGGTCAAGGGCGTGCACAGGCAATCCACTTTGACCTTTGACGACTCGGACGGGCCGCCTCCCCCAGACGCTTCGGATGTGTTGCCTAGCTTATTAGATAAACACAGGATGCGTGCGCTGTCCATGCGTTGCTCATCTTAGGTTCTTGTTCTTTGACGGAGGCCGGTCAGGCCTGCATTCTCATTGGAACAACCTGTTCAAGGGCATCGGCGTGACTAAGATGTGGAATTTAATCCACAGTGAGGCCTCGACAACTGCGAACAGGAAGGCCAGGAATCTGTCAGGGACGGCGATTGAGCGTGGGGCCAGGGCCTCAGTGTTTTAATGTGATTTCCTCGGAGGCGCGGGGGCTGATAATGAGGTCAACGTGATTAACTTGGCAGAAAAGGTCTTGGTGACCACCACGGATGTGCAAAAGCTGCAAGCTATCACGGGAAGCCGGAAGAACCTACATTTTGAGGGGACCGTGTGTTCAGATGCTGCGCCTTGGATAAACCAAACAGTGCGCGGTTGTTTGGCGCGCTCAGCTTGCGCCCCTTGTTTGCGTGCGAGTTTCTGAGGTCTACGGGGTCCCCCGGCATGATTTGGCAGGGCTGACAAGGCTGGCACCTGTGTTCAAGCACGAGTTGCTTGGAAGCTTCCGCGTGGCTGGTGCACCGAACAACCAACAGCGAACAAATGCAAGTGCAAAGGACAACGTGGCAGGAGAACCGATCACTTGGAATCCAAGGCATTCGCACATGATCGAGGAATTGTTGCACCGGTATCGGCCACGGGCTGTCACACTCATGACAGCAGCAGAGCCTGCGACAGCCAGCGTGATTTTGACAAAAAGAATTCCAGTGACAGCAATTTGCTCCTTGGCTGCATCGCAGTTTGATGTCCTTTTGCTCGAGTTTGGTTCTGGTGCCCAAGAAGAGCACGCCAGGCTTCTCACAAAAGCACGCCAAGTGGTTCAAGGCCCAGGTCTGCACACAGCTCCTCGCGGCGATGACTGACCCTGCCAACGACAAGATTTTCAACGCAAAGCTGGGAAAACTTTTGCACCTTCCGCATCCGCAGAGCAGCAGCACCCCTGAGCCTTCCACGTCCACGGTGACAGGCAAGAAGCGAAAGTCGCGGGGAGGTGCCAATGCAAAGCCGAAGCCAAAGAAGGCTGCAAAGATGAAGGCGGCTCCGAAGAAGAAGTCGGAGAAGGATCTGATTGCAGAAGACGAAGAAGACGAAGAAATTGAAGATGAAGAGGACGTCGAGGAGGAGAATCTGAGTGAAGACTCTGTGGGTAGTGATGACTAAACAAACTGTGGTGCCACAGTTTGTGCATTCTTTTGTTTAGCCAGCGCATGACAATAATGATGATAGCGGGACATGTCTGTTGGCAGCGAAGCAATCACAGACCCGGGGCAGATTGCAGTTCGGAGCGCTGGGAGGAAAATAGGATAAACACGCTGCTGCAATTGTGAGTGTCCTGTCTTTTGAACTGACAGTGCACGGATCAAGTGCTCATTGACGCCTTTCGCCATCTCCTGCACGTGCTCTGCTGCCTGCCTCTTTAATCTTTCACTCGGGGATTGGTGCCGAGGAAGAAACTTCCTTTGCCAGTGCATGTGGTGGCCGCAATGGAAGGTCTGGTAGTGCACGGTGACTCCCAGACCGCCATCCTTGTGGGTTATTTTTTGCTCTTGGTATATGCGAGGTTGAGGTTCTCGGACGCTCAATTCCTGGTGCAGGAACCCAAGATTGACGGGAGCGACAGTCATGGGTTTTTGGAGATGCAGCTGTACCACCACAAAACCATTGGTCGGAGCAAAGCCACAATCAAGAGGCTCCTGCCAGCTGCTGCAGCTCTGCCAGGCGTGGGAGGTCATCCATGGGCATCGAAATGGCTGGAGATTAGGAAACAATTGGGTCTTGCGGCTGGTCGAGGGCACTCTACCAGTCGTTGTCTCCGGGCCAGCTTGGGGTTCGCTGCCTATGACACCGACCGAAGGGGTCGACAAGCTCAGGCAAGTCCTCCGGATGGTTGATGGGACACTGGATGTTTCTCAGTTTGGCACGCACAGTTGCAAGGCGACAGTGCTTTCATGGCTTGCAAATCCAGCGACGAGCTGGGTACCATGCAAAG